CAGTAAAGCGCCAGAAACTGACGAAGTTTCGGCAAAACTGTTCAAATATAGAGGACGCGAACTCTGGAGAAGAATCCATTACCTGATAAAGTTGTTATGGACCAAGGAGCAAATGCTGGAGGAATGGGCAGTTGTTCTTATACAGAAAATATATAAAAAAGGAGATAAGAAGGTATGCCAGAATTACAGAATTAATTATCTACCCTTAATTGTCGAAATACTCCTAAAATATAATTGGTGATTATCAAAATGAATTCAGAACAAATAGAGCCACTACAGACAACACATTTATACTTACGATACAAGAGATAGCTTATATATACGGCATAGATTTATATAATATGTATATAAACTTTAAACACGCTTTTGATATTGAAAAAAGAGACAAAATGCTGAAAGACCTCCGAAATCTAGGAATCCAAAAAAATATATCAGCCTTACAAAAATAACGTTGCAGTGTTCAAAAGCCGCAATTAGAGTAGATGGAGAACTGACTCCCCTGTTTGACGTCAACATGGTGGTGAGACATAGAGACGTACTTTCAACCATGCTGTTTAACCTAGAAGCAGACATCAGAAAAACCAATGTAAGCGGCCATATAAATACCAACACTGTACAAAATTATAGCTTATGCAGACGATGTCGTGATTATTAGTAGAAGCAAGACAGGACTAATGAAAACGTTCAAGCACAAAAAAGATGACCATCAAAAGAACACCTGAGAATGAAAATAATATAGCAATAGACAATAGACTATACTATTGAACGTGTGGATGTCTTTACATATCTGGGTACATAAATCAATCAGAAGAATTCCGTAAGTAGCGAAAGTAATGCACTATTTTCAGTGAAAATCGTATATACTATACTAATATAAGATTGATGACATCAAAATTATTAGACAAAAGAACCAAAATGACTATCTACAGAACTTTGTATTTAAAGAAAGGAAAAAGAAAAGAAAGAGGTGATAGACTAGTCCAGTAAGCACTGCCAGGAGAAATAATTAGTCATAACAAATACATACTACGCTTACACGAAGATTGTACACGTAGATTTCTCCAAAAGATATCACCAACATTATAATCAGACACCAAATAGATTTTATAACGATTAACAAAAGGTTTCGTAATGGAGTACAAAGAGCAAAAACCTATCCAAGCGCAGATGCAGATACGGACCATAATATATTACTAGCAAACCGGAGAAAAAAGTTAAAACCTCCAAAATAAACATCAAAATCCGAAAAGACGGCAACTGCCAACAGCAACTAAACGCAGAGATAAATAAATTAACTGAAGGAAGCGTGGATTGGGCTGATATGAAAAAAGCCATAATAAAAGCGGGAAAATAGGTCCTAGGCGAAGAAGAGAAAACCACTAAAAAGACTGGATGACACCGGAAATAGTTGAACTAATAACTGAAAAAAGAAAATACAAAAATAAAGATGGAAATAAATATAAAACCATCAAGAATAAAATCAAATATAAAATCAGAAAGACTAAGGAGGAATGGATGAACAAGGAATGCCAGGAACTGAAAGAACTCAGCAACAAACATAACGCCTCAAACTTACATAAAAAATGCAAGAACTTTCAGGTAACACCAGACAAAGAAGAACACTCATAATAAGAGATAATAATGGAGGAATACTTACGGAAGAGAGCAAAATAAAGAAAGTATGGGAACAATATATAATCCATGTGTTCCATGACGAGAGGGAAAATAAACAAGGACAAGGACCGGGTCCTGATCAAATTTCAGTTGAACTGTTAAAAGCCTTAGATGACGGTAATATAAAGAGACTTACCCGAATTCTCAACTGCATATATATAGAGAGCAACATCTCGGAGGAATGGCTTACATGGACATTTTTACCTCTACAAAAAAAAGTCCCAAACCCTGTAATGAGTATAGATTCATAAGCTTAATGTGCCACCCTTTAAAGATTCTCTTGAAAATTGTTCAAAACCGAATTTATAAGAAATGTGAGGAGCAGATAGATTAAACGCAGTTTGGCTTCAGAGGAGGCATTGGTACAAGAAAGGCATTATTTTTCTTGAGGATACTCTTTTGCAGAAATGTCGGAAATATAACAAGAGTGCATATGTATGCTTCATAGACTTTAGGAAGGCCTTTGACCGAGTGCAGCATATGAAGTTAATAGATAAATTAAAAAACATCAATTTAGACAAAAAAGATATTGCGTTTATTAAGGCTATATACTGGAACCAGAAAGCAGTAGTAAAGGTAAACGATATAGAAACAAATAATATACCGATTGCGAGAGAGGTCAGGTGAGGATGCGTCTTGTCTCCGATGCTTTTCAAAGTGTTCTGATAGGTCATATTTAGAAAAACCTTATGGGAAAGAATTGGGGGAGATATTGTAAACACCATGAGATTTGAAAATGACACGGTAATTATGGCTGAGAGTATAGAGGAACTACAAACTTTACTAGATGCAATAAATAGTGAATGCATTCAAATGGGACTTGACATCAACACAGATTAGTGAGAGCGCCCACCAAAGTGGCGTGGCAAGTGGCAAGTAGCAAGTAGCACGAGTCTAGCATGTTACTTAAAATGCAACCAATGGAAACGAATGATGTCACTGTCATTTTGGTGTGCGCTGAATCACTCGGTTCGATTGGTTACATTTTAAATAACATGCTAGATGCATGCTACTTGCTACTTGCCACTTGCCACGCCACTTTGGTGGGCACTCTCCCTTAGACCAACTTTATGATAGTATCAAGGAGTCTAATAAATATTGAACAACTAACCCTTGGTGGACCGCAAATAGAGAGAGTGACAAAATATAAATATCTGGGAGCTTACATCCATACAGAATGAGATCCAGACCAAAATATTGGGGTACGAATAGAAATGGTAAGGGCAGCATTCTTAAAATTCAAGCAATTGTTCTGTGACAAAAATCTGCATGCTGCGCTGTGACTGAGGTTTGTTGAATGTTACGTCTAGTCCCAACTGTTGTACTGGGTAAAAACATAGGCGTTAAAAGCGCAAATAGTTAAGAAGCTTGAAGCCTTTGAACTTTGGATATACCGGAGAATGTTGAGAATTCCATGGAGTGCCTGCAATGAGGAAGTGCTGAGAAGGATGTTAGAAATAGTAGAAGAATAGGTAGTAAGAGGAAGTAATTGCTGCAAAATATTCGATACTTGACAAATATGACAAAGGAAGAGAATACAAAATGGGAAACAAAGAAATCAGAATACCTACTCTGCTATGCAGATGATGCGGCCCTAATTGCATCCAATGAAGACGATCTACAAAGACTAACCCATAGATTCAACACAAGCGCAAAGGACTTTAATATGGTGATCTCTACACAGAAAACTAAAACAATTGTAATCAGTAAAGAACCAATTAGATGTAAACTGGAAATCGACGGTATCAGCATTGAGCAAGTAATGGAGACAAATTACCTAGGAATTACACTGTCTAGCTACGGAGATGTGGAGAAGGAAGTGAAAAATCAAGTACAAACGGCTAATAAAATAGCAAGTTGTCTTAATAACACGATATGACGCAATCCCCACATTAATACCGACGTGAAATCAAGAATCTACAAACCAATAATAAGACCAATAATGACATACACTTCAGAGACAAGACCGGATACCTCCAAAACTCAGCAACTACTAGAAACAGAGGAGATGCGTTTACTGAGGAGAATTACAGGAAACACACTGAGGGATCGAATGAGGAGTGAAGAGATCAGAAGAAAATGCAATATACCAGAAATAAATGAGTGGACACTGAACAGAAAAAAGGAATGGAACGAACACATAAACAGAATGGAAGAGACCCGATTAGTCAGAATAGCGAGGGACAAATCACCAAAGGGTAGAAGAAGTATCGGGCGACCACGCAAAAGATGGAGATAACCTCCAATAGAGGCATTAATCGACATTGAACAAGCATTTTGCTTATAAAAAAGAAGAAGAAGAAGAAGAAGACAAATATGACTGTAGACGAATTATTCCACGTTGCAAAAGACAGTGAAACTTAGAAATGTGGTCGCAAACCCCCGTTAATGGGGACGGCATAGGAAGAAGAAGGCAGAACTTTGATTAGACCCGTAGTAACTTATGGTTGTGAAACCTGGGTAATAAAAAAAAGAGAGTAAGCCCAACTCAGAACATTCGAGAAAAAGATACTGAGATACTGAGAAAAATGAAAGAGCAAGACGGCACATAGAGAATCAGGAGAAATGACGAGGTTAATGAACTGAATAAAGGGTATGACATTGTAATATTTGTGAAAAGTTAAAGACTGTCATGGCTGTGACATGTTCAGCGACAAGAAGACAAGAAAACGACAAAGATGTTACACTGGAAGCCGGTAGGAAGTCGGAAAAAAGGAAAGCCCAGGATGAGATGGTTGAACGACGTGGAAGACGACCTAAAAACCATAAATTTAAGACAATGGAGGAAAAGGGCTCAAGAGATCTGAATGCAAGGACATAGCCCGACAGGCAAAGACCCGTCCATGGTTATGATTCCAGAAGAAGAAGAAGAACAACAATAAATCTTGCGCGTTGTTTCTTATTGTTACGAGCTATTAAACAACCCTTGTAACCTCGAAAACAAAGTAAACACTATAAATAACTAATAAAGTTAATACCAAGTTCTCTAATATTTTTTTAATATATCAAACATTTTAATTATCAGATGAGGTCATCATGCATTCCTATCAATGAACCGCACTGTAAGGCTCGTGCCAAATCACGAAACTCATGCACCTTACGACATAAAAAATAAATATCTATATTTTTGTATGTATAATATTATACTTCAGAATTAAAACTAATTCAAAACTAATATTTATGTAATGACATATTCTAAATGTTCATAATTGTGGCGTGTATTAGATCACGGAAAGATTGATTAAGCCCAATAAAAGATTTTTCTGCAATAAGATACACATCTAAAGTTTTAGTATATTCTTACATAAAAAAATATATCGACTTACCTTGTTTTGATTGTTGTATTTGTAGTGAAACACTAGTATTGAAAGTAAAGTTAGTCTATCTCAGTTTCCGTTCTAATATCCACATTTTTGCTGTACATTTTAATAAATCTTTGTCGCAACTGGATGTGTATTTACGTACCGGCTTAAATTTATTAGGTCAGGATCAATATCCACCCCAATTGCGAGGGTAAGGGCGCTGTGAAAAGAGGGTTGCTTGCTAAATGTTGTAGAGTATAAGACCCGTGGACGATAGATGGCGTAATAATGTCTACGGCAAAAATAAATATAAGTAAAAATAATAATATAAATAATATAAGCATTACAAATAATGTAGTAATGTAATGTATAACTAATAAAAAAATGTAAAATTATCTAAGCAAGGCACTTATTCCTATCCGACCGCTACTGGATTAGTAAATTATTAGGTTTACAGTAGTGTATTTTGTTAAGTGTAGCATGACAGTACAAATTGTTTTAAAGCACAAAAATTTACTCTTCTTCTTTGTCAACCATTTTCCATACACTCCTGCATGTAGGTCTCTCCCAATTGCTTCCATCTTTCTCTATCTTGCGCCAATCTAATCCACTGTTTGCCTGCCACTGCTCTTATGACATCTACCCATCTTTTTTGAGGTCTTCCCATGCTTCTTGTTGTCGTCCTTGATCTCCATTCTAGAATTCTCCGTGTCCACCTGTTGTCATTATATCGGGCTACGTGACCTGCCCAGCGCCATTTCATTTTTGTAATTTCTTCCACAATATCCCTAATCTTCGTTCTACGTCGTATCTCGGTGTTTCTAATCTTGTCTCTTAGTGATATTCCAAGCATGATTCGTTCTATTGCTCTTTGCGTTGTTTCTAATTTTTTGGTAAGTGCTACTGTCTCCAAGCTGTAGGTACAAACAGATAGTATGCATGTGTTATACACATTTTTCTTTAAGTTTATAGGAATGTAGGTGTTTTTCAGGATATGTGTTAGTTTGCCGAAAGCGCCCCAAGCCAGTTGTGTTCTTCTTTTAATTTCAGCATCTTGATTTGGTTTTCCTAGTTTTATAACATGACCTAGATATACATAATGTTCCACATTTTCTATGGTATGATTTTGTATTGTTATATTTGTCTGGTCTCGGCTCAGTATTTTTGTTTTGCTGTAATTTATTTTTAAGCCTACCGCTCCTGAAACTGCATTTAATTGTTGGAACATATCATTTAGTTCTTGGATATTATCGGCTATTAAAACTATGTCATCTGCGAATCTCAAATGGTTTAAGTATGATCCGTCGACGTTGATACCCTTATTGTTCCATTCCAGTTTCTTAAAAATATCTTCTAGAGCAAGGGTAAATAGTTTGGGAGAGATGGTGTCTCCTTGTCTTACTCCCCGTTGTAGTCTTATGGGATTAGTTTTTGTGCTTTCGTCCAGCTTTATATGCATGGTGGCATTTTCATATATGTTTTTAATTATGTTAATGTATCTTGAATCTATGCGTGCATTTTCAAGAGATTCAAACACTGCCCATAATTCGATGGAATCGAATGCTTTATGGAAATCGACGAACGCCATATGAATTGGAACATTATACTCGGTGCATTTTTCTATCAGTGTTCTTATGGTGATCAAGTGGTCTATGGTATTAAAATGTTTTCTGAATCCAACCTGCTCGATAGGTTGATAGAAATCGAGCTTATGTGTTAGGCGGTTGGTTATGATTTTAGTTAGTAATTTATACAGATGTGATAGCAAGGATATTGGTCGGTAATTCTCGATGTTTGCTCTGTTTCCTTTCTTGAATAGTAAAATGACCTCGGAGTTGTACCAGTCTTGAGGAATCTTTTCTTTATCAATTACTTTATTAAATAAAACATTTAATACCTGTTCCATTTTTCTGCCACCAATTTTCAACATTTCAACTGTAATCTTATCCTCTCCCGGACATTTATTCGTTTTAAGTTGATTTAGGGCCATTCTTATTTCATAGTCGGTTATGTCCGGTATTTCTTCTGAGCCGGTGTTAATTTATTGTTCATTGAGTACGTCGTTGTTGTGGTTGTGTATTTACCGAGTATAGTTTAGGGTAGAATTTTTCAATGGCCTCGCTTATTTCCTTTCTGTCTCTGACGGTGACGTTTTTCTCATTTTTTATTTCTATGATTTTTGTTGTGCCGCTTGAGTTTTTTGCTTTGAGTACTTTCATGTTGCAGTTATCTTGTATTATATTTTTTATTAGATTGTTATTATAGTTTCTATGATCGGTCCTGATTTCTTTCTTCACATTTTTGTTAAACTTTTAAAGCTGTCCGAAGTTCGATCTGTTCTGTTTCGTCTTTCTTGGAGTAGTTTAATTGTATTAGGTTGGAGTTTAGATGTTTTGGCTGTTTTCGTGTTTGAGCATATTTTCTTAACCGATGTTGTTACAGTTACTTTTATTTTAGTGGCTAGTCCGTTTATATCCATTTGTTTCAGTGTCTCTATTGATTTTAGTCTTGTGCTTAGCTCTTTTTGGTATTCCGTTTGTTTTTGAAACAGAACATTGGTGGTTGGGTATCGTTCTCGTTTAATAAGTTTGCTTCGTTCTACTCTCGTCTGTATTTTAAATGTTCGCTCTAACCAATCTATGGTCTATAAAAATTTACTATGAAGCAGAAACGTCGAACATTGTCAGAAAAGAAAGCCTGCTTTAGATGTCTGAAAGTAGGACATTCTTCTAAATAGTGTAAAGGACGTTTGAACTGTACATTATGTTGTAAATCACATCCTGTTTTGATGTGCCCCAATTTGCATGTTAATAAAATTGATACATCGAACTCAACTAGTACCCGTTCGGACGAAAATATAACTGAGGATCAAACGCTTGCTAATTTGAATAATACACAGGTTTTTGCGACTAAACTTAAGAAGTGCACATGGTACTAAACAAGTAAGGGCACGTATTGACCTTGGATCTCAGGGGACATTATATTTTACAAAGTACCGCGCAAGAAATCAAGAAAAAAAAGATCAAGGAAATAACAGGTAAAAAAGTGAAACAAGCATCCATCGTAAAGGACAAAAAGGGTTAAATAATTACAGATTTAAATGAAAAACTGGCAAGATGGACGGAATACATTGAAGAACTTTTTGCAGACGAAAGACCAGAAATAGCAGTGGCAGAATCTACAGACGACACAACAGGGACTGAAATCCTAAAAAGCGAGGTAGAATATGCTATAAGGAACACAAAAAGGGGTAAAGCTGCAGGACCAGATAAAATTCCTGTAGAATTGTTGAAACTTATAGGACGACGACGCACTTTAATTAATGGTAAACCTGTTTAACACAATTTATAAAATAGGCATTATACCAAAAGAAATGGCTCTCCTCTACTTTTGTCACAATCCCGAAGACGAATAACGCCAGAGAGTGTTCAGACAGTAGCATTGAGAGTAACAGAACTATAGCATTGATGAGACACACTAAAATTATTTTTAAAAATAATTCACAAAAGAATATTTAATAAATTAGAAGAGGACATAAGCGCCACACAGTTTGGATTCAGAGGTGGATTGGGAACACGAGAAGCTTTGTTTGGTCTGAGTGTGTTAATGCAAAGACGTTTGGATGTAAACCAAGACCTCTACGTAGGTTTCATAGACTTTGAGAAGGCCTTCGATAAAGTCAGACACCAAAAGCTGTATGAAATCCTAAGAAGCAAAAACATCGACAGTCGTGACATTAACATCATATCCAGGTTGTACTGGGGACAAACAGCAAAAATCAAAGTTGATAATGAGTTAACCGAAGAAATTGAGATTCGTCGAGGTGTGCGTCATAGTTGTGTGCGTTCTCCACTATTATTTAATATATATATATATATATATATATATATATATATATATATATATATATATATATATATATATATATATATATATATATATATATATATATATATATATAAGAAATACTGGATATTAGTGACTGTCGATATAAACAAACAACACAGTTTATTAGGGTTGCAGTCAGAATATTGGCCGGGATGTTAAAAAAACACTCTTTTGACTTTTTGTCGAGCTTTCGGAATGATTTTATTCCTTTTTCAAGACACTGTAATAAAAATATGTAAATATTTAAAAAATATCACAATTCTTCAGTGTAACTTACTAGTCGTTGAGATTATTTGTATAAGCATTGACACTCAACATTTATAACACACATTAAAATATACAATTATGGATATAATACATTATAAAATTTTTAAAATTTATTGTAAAAATAGTAAAACTTAGTTGATGGCATGTTTTACTGGTGTATATTAACTCATACAGAGAATGGAAAGTAAAAACACTGTAATTAATATGTATTTAGGTGTAATTGATGTTATCTTTCTTTTCCAGAAATACTAGAGGCCCTTCTTAGGTGACTATACTTTTTAAACCTGTCTTAATGGTATGCAACATATTATACATAGAGGTGTAATTTATGTACAGGTAAATATTTATTTTATTTTTGGTGTTTTTCTAGTAAATAACAATAAATGTTGCTTAATTTGTTTTAAACACTTTTAACGCCCAATGTGAACAAATATAGTTTACGGTTGAGAGAGAGGCTGATAATATGATTCCTTTTTTAGACATGCTAATCCATCGTGGCAATGATGGCATGCTAAAGACGGAGTGGTATCGTAAACCTTGTTTTAGTAACCGTTTCATAAACTTTTCATAAAACTAGAGTTATCAACTTGTCACACATAAAATTCAGGGACAAGGGACTAAAAAAGTTGAGATCCATACTACAAGAGAATTCTTATCCCATAGGGCTGTTAAATAAACTCATTTTCGGTTCTCCTTTTCCTTCACAAGTTTCTGTCAACCAAAATTTTCATAACAATGAGATCCGACAATTGACATTGACACATAACGCATCAATATTACCATCGAAAATAACTTATGGTTGCCTACCCTACATTCCATTTCTGACACCTAAGCTAATGAACATCTTTAAAAATGTTAGTGGCTTAAAAATTACAACCAAAAATGTGAAAACAGTATCGAAGCTTTACACAAAAACAAAAGATCCTTTTACAATACAGGAGTCATCGAATGTTGTTTATTCTATACCGTGTACTAATTGTAATAAAATTTATATAGGAGAATCATCTCGTAATTTTCACAGCAGGGTGATATCACATCGTAGTGATATTTGGTTTCATGAAATGAAACTAAAAAAATCAATGCATGTGCATTGACAGAACATGCACTAACTCTGACACATGAATTCAATTTCGATGA